TACTAATTTCCATGGCCGGTGGCTTTTCCTTCCATGCATCACTCCCCCCCGCATGCCCAGGGGCCACCCGCCTGGCATTACCGCATGCTGGGGTCATTGGGGGAGGGGGGTGGGGCTCACGCTGTCCTGTGGTCTTGAGATTTTTATTTTTGCATATGTAATCCATCCTGTACAGGTAGCTAACTTTGTAAACGCTGTGTATTTCCCCTGCCCCCATGGCTGCTGGTGTAAATAAACTGCATCTCCTGTTGGTAGCCCGGCCTACCCACCCTCATTACCATGGCGCTGGGGGCAGAGCAAAGCCATTCTCTTAAATGTCACAGGAGGCTCCACAGCCACAAAATGGAACTTTATTCAGTTACAGACACCAACCCTCCATCCGAGAGCCCCAGAGACAGGGCCCGGGACCCAGCCTGTATACCCAGAACTCGTCCTTGGAGCTGGGAAGGGTAGGACACTGGCCGAGGGCCAGAGCTGTCTCTTGCTTACAGCCTTAGGCCTAGAGTAGCAGCAGCTGTGGCCCAGCCTCTCCCAATGCTGGGGGCTTGGCTTTGTGCCCCCAATCCCCTTCCTGACTGAGTTCTAGAAAGGACTCTTAAAAAAAAGAAAATACAAGCAAAGTGCTTTGAAAAAAAGAACACTGGAAACTGTCCAGAACATGGAGGACACCCTATTCCTGCTACAGGGGCGGAGGGAGAAGGGAGAGGCAGCTCGGTGCCTACATGGAAAGCTAACGCAGTCTTCGTTCCTGTGTGATTTTAGTCTCAAAAGATGGGAGACTCCACTAAGGATTCCAAAGATACTCCGGGCTCCCTACGGAGGTATGCCGGGGCCATGCTGAGCTGCCCTGGCGGGTGGCCCTGGGTGCTGAGGCACAGACATGCGGACAATGGGGAGAGCTAGGGCCACAGCCGGGAGGGAACCCTCAGATCCCAGGTTCCCTGCTGAGCTGGGCTGTCAGCTCATTTCTGAACCTCAGGACCCCAAAAGTGAAGGAAGATGACATCCTCATTTCTACCTGAGTTGTGCTTGCACAGAGGGGCTGTCTGTATCCTCATGTGGACATGAGGGGAGGCCCACACCTGCCTCCTGTGTCCTATAGAGGAGGAACCCCACAGCCTTTCCACCCTTCCCTCCCAGGCCCTTAGGCCCAGCTCTGGCCAGGAAAGGGGGGAGGCCACAGAGGAGGAAGACCATGCCTTTCATTTTCTCCCTATGTTCTTATCGTCCATACATCCCAAATACTAGGAAGCTGAAGAAGACAGTGACCCCCACCAGGGAGACAGTGGCAGGTGCTGTGAAGAACTGGCGGTAATTGATACGGAAGTACCAGACCACACCCAACAGCACCACAAACACGGGCACCATGAGGCTGCCCACACTGACGCCAAGGCTGGGTGGCTCAGTGGCTGAGGACGGGGCCAGGGAGGCTGAGGGGCCTGGAACAGCTGAGCCTGGGGGTGAGCGGTGGCAGTGAATCACACAGTTGTTGGTAATGTTCAGAGAACGCAGGGTGCGGGCTGGGTCTTGCAGCAGGCGGCCCTGGTAGATGAGTTTCATCTGGCTCTCTTGTCCAGGGAAGTATTTACTGCAAGGATGAAGGAGATAGAAGGAAAGACAGAAGGCAAGGAATGAGACGGCAAACAAGCCTGAATCAACAAAGCAGGGCAACAGAAGAAAACCGAAGGGTGGGTTTGTAAGGAAGACAGCCCCCCCACACGCACCCCCCACACTCCCCCCAGGGAGGGACAGGACCTGACACTTCCCTGCTGCTCCTGAACTTGTCTCTCCCAGCTTCCTCAGAGGCAACCAAGGTCTCAGGGGTCTGGGGTATTAGCAGCCTCCCATTTTCCAGCTTACTTACCTCTTCAGGGCACCCACAGTATCCTCTGGCCTGGCCACAGCCAGCTCCTCAGTGTCATTGAGGAATTTGAGCCGCACATTGATGAGGCCCGGGCTGGCAGGGAGGCAGGCGCTATCCTCAGCTCTCAGGGGGGCCGCTGGACTGCTGCCGTCTGGGCCTGCTTGTCTTTTGGTCAGGCCTTGGATGTCAAGCAGATGCTCAAGGCTGGGTTCCACACCACCCCCAGCTCCAGGCTCCCCTGTGGTGTCTCCCCCACCTTCGCCAGCCTCTTCAGCCTTCTCATCATTACCCTCTGATGGATGGGGGTGTTCGGTTGGCTCTGGGGTGCCTTGGCCCGCCACCAGATGGTCCACATGCCCCAGGTGGAGGACGGATGTGTCGCCTGCTGACACAATAGTGCCCAGGAGCTGGTTGCTACTGCTGTCTGCTACGTAGGTAGAAAGCCACGCTAGGACCAAGGCTAGAATCAGCACCACCACACCTGCTACCACAGTCACCTCATTACCCACACCCTCAATGAGGGTGACATCAGAGAGCTCCATGGCCTGGCTGCTGACTGGATCCACGCTGCAGGAACAAAGGAGGATAGCATCAGCAGGGCCTCTGGTTATGCGACCAGGTTTCTAGTTTCTTTAGATCCTAACTGGCCCAGTCCGGACATAAGACGGAGTGCAGTGCCCCACAGAAGGGGGAACAAACCTTCCTAATTCTGGATCCCCAAGATAAAGGTAAGGACTTACTCTCTGCCTCTATTGTGAAACACTAGCCTTCAGGTTCTACATCATTCTTCTCTCACATTCCAGCCCCCCAATGAGCATAGATCATCAGGAAAACCTCCTAGTCTTCTTGCTGCTGCTGCTACTATTTGTTGCTGGTTTTGGTGGGCGGGGAAAAACATTTGCTTCTTTGAGCCCTCAGTTTCTCCAGGATTTCTATCGTTCGATCAAACAAATATGCTTCTCTGAACAGCCTCCAAAAGACAAAAAAGCCTAGAATATATTATTGTGGGGGCAGTCACCCTTTCCAGATTGTCTCATTTGAATCCTCTCTCATTCATGGATTCATGGTCATAGACCTAGGCCCAGATGTTAAGAGCCAAAGAAAATTGATCTTCGGGCCCCCGCAGTGGCGCAGCGGTTGAGTGCTGGGTTGCGAAGCTGCCTGCAGCCTCTGCAATGCCGGTTCGATCCCCGGCCACCAGGCGAGGGTCCCACATGGCGTGCAGACCTCTCCTGCCGCCCGCTGCTCCCCCCAGCAGTGTACTTCCATCCTTCTGCCTGCTCTGCTCCCCGCTCTGGCTCTGGTGAATTCTCTCACCCTCCCGCGCTTCTGACTGTACCCAGTGCTTGTATAAATAAATAAAAAATCTTAAAAAAAAAAAAAAGAAAATTGATCTTCTAAAGTAGTTAGACCACCACAAAGGAACAACTCTGTAGGAGCCTCAGCAGACACTATGCAGCAGACATAATGTATGTCTGCTCCCAGAGTCTTCGGACAATCTCGGAGCCACACAGAACAGACAACAGAAACACCATCCTCCTGGGTCACCACAGGCTTACAACTGCAAAAACCACTACCTGAGTAGAACCTATTTGGAAATAAACAGCTCCATATCTCAACCTCTCTCCCCGTGCTGTTTATATTCTCCCTCTATAGTTTCTTAAAAAGGCAGGCAGGATCTCGGGTTGCTCTTCATAGTACCTATTCTTTCCCTTGGATAATCTGCTGCTTTCAAGCAGTCCCTGGGCAATTTCAGTCTGATGATGGCTACTTCTACACTATTCTCACAGTAGCTAAAAAACTTCACTATACCCATCTAGCTGTCCATCTCTCTCTACTAGATTTCTGGAAGACAAAGATCACGTGTAACTTCTCTCTGTACTAATCATCGTGACCAGCATAATGCCATAGTAGTTGCTCAAAGAATATTTGTGGAACATAACATCTAGACAGTTTCCATATCCTTATTTAGTACATGGCCCCTGGAGTTAGGAAAACAAAAACAAAAACTAATTACAATCCTATTCTTGAGTCTTACTGGCTTTTTAACCTCGGACAACTTTCTCAGCCTTCGCTTTTTCATCAATAAAACGGGGTTAAAAATAGTACCTACCTCATAAGGTTGTTTTGAAGATGACGGGGAATCATGGAGGCAAAAATACTTAGCACAATGCCTGGCACATTGCAATTGTTCAATAAATTAATGATAGCAGTTATTTATCACTCCCACAACTAACCCTCATGGTAAAAAGGTTAATGTTATTAAACTAGATGTACAGAAGAGGAAACTGCAACGAATACAGGCGCAAAAGACAGGCAAAGACACAGGGAACTTTCGTGGACAGGTGCCAGGCAGGCCCTCAGGTCTCCCGCCTCAGAGGCCTTTGCTCTCTCTTCAGCCTTTGAGGGACCCTAACTGCACGGTAAGGAAGGGTCCCCGACCCTGCCTGATTTGAGGCGAAGGCTCCGCGTTTGGGCGGTCCTATTCCCACGGCGCTGGAGTGGGGTCCATGGGCCCACCGAGCTGAAAGGCTGGCTGGTTCCGGCCGCCGTACACAGGCCAGCTCTCAGGCCGTAAGGGAGTCGAGTGAGGGGTCACAAACCATCCACACCCCTCAAACTTCGGGGCGGGGCTGGGGGTTGGGGGCGGGGCTTGAGTACGCGAAGAGTCATGGGAAACCAAAGGGGGTTGGATCGGTACTGTGCCTGGATAGGGAAGGAGGTCCTCACCTGAAACGGCCAGACTAAGTGTTTTCACTTCGCCAGGGCGGCCCATGGACTCACCTTTCTGTAGGGGTCGGGGGAGGGGCTGCTAGCCCTGATTCTGTCCAGGGTCCGGTCTCTTCCGGCTTCTCCCGGAAGCTGTTAGAACCAGAGAGAGGAAGTCCCGCCTCCGCGCCTTGCACTGATGACGCAAAGCTACGTAAGGCGGGCTGACGTAAACGTATTCTTTAAATAAAAGGGACCGGTTTCTCAGCGGAAGAAGAGGCGGAGTCATTGTTGGCGGGATCAAGGCCCTCTCGAGGCCCCCGCCCCGGCGGGGCCTAAGAAATTCAGTGAGGCGGGGCCTAAGTAGTCCTGTGGGGCGGGGCCAGAGGGCTGTGGGAGGTGCTTGGCAAGGGGTGGGGCTTCGCTTGTGGAAGATTGAGTGGGCTGGGCTGGACGGAGCCCGAGCGACGCTTCCCTTTTTCCAGTCTTGTTCTCAGCCGCCGGAGCTGATCGGATTTATTACTGCTCTGCAAGGGGGATCAGTAACAACTGGCCCCTCTGACTTCCTAGAGTTCGGCTCCAGACTAGTCGGGAGACAATTTAGTCACCATCCGGCGCTCTGAGAACGCGGTCCCAGGGAGTGTGGGTAAAAGGCACAGATTCAGCGCAGCTTAGGGCAGCAGGAAAAGCAGGAGCCAACAAAAGTTGCTTAACAGTATTACCTCCCAGGTTGTACCATAATTTTTTAAGTCAGTCGTCTCATTTGGGTGGACATTTAGATTGTTTTCCGTAGTTTTGTTTTTAAGCAATATTTTCTAGAAGATTAACTATTTCCATTCCCACCAGTTGTGTAATTGGCATCTATACATGTTCCTTTCCCCCAAAACATGGTAGAGGTTAGTGGGGAACAAGGAGTAGATAGGGGAGATTTTGAGAAATGTGAGAATGCTGAAGATGTTTGTAAGCCAAGAGGACAGAGCAGAGGAGTAGAGAAGAGAAGGTAAAGGCATTCTGAAAAAGGAATAATTGAGCAGTGGCCTTGGAGGGGAAAACACGTGTTGGGGGGGGGGTCTGGTGGGCCAATCCACTGGCTGGGCTTGCACTGGGGAGAAGGTGGGAAATCCAGCTTTTCCCAATACCCATAGGTACCTGATTCATCCATTTAGGGTTAAAGAGACACGCTCTGTATGCTTTTGTATGCACTGACTTCTGCCATAACATTTATTGTCATTTTTTATTTTCTGTTTTAACAAATTTCTTGAGGGTAGGAACTGGCTTTTTCTTTTGTTGTTATATATCTCTAAATTCTGTCCCAGCACTTTTTGCATCGCAACAGATAATTGATACTCCTTCAATGAGTGATGGATGGGTTCGAAAAAGAGACTGGGAGTTTGAGAGAGTTTTCTCATCTGATGTTTGGAGGGAAAGTCAGACTAGCCATGGCAGCAAGATAAGTGTATAGAACGAGGAGGACAGATTGGAGGATGGATTGCCTGGGGATAGAGGGGCACTTTTTCTTGGTGTGTCCAGCCAAGGACAAGGTGTAGTTAAAGGTGTTTTGAAAGAGGAAAGAAGCCAGTAACACGTACTATATCACCACCCAAAGCTGGTCTCTTTCAATTATAGTAATAATTAAAAATTAACATAAGATTTTAATGGATCTGAATTACTTTATAATTATTTATGAGATGCTTAATTTTCCTAAACTAATGAACTTAAGTATTTTTAAACCTTTATGTGCAATTATGAAGGCTGTAGGATGGTAAATGTATCTGTAAATCCTAAATGCCTTATCTAAATATAAATCCATTTTATTAAATCCATTTTGTTAAAAAAACAAAACGTGTACCTGCCCTAACCACTACATATTACTCATTTCACCTTTGCCAGTTTGATAAGCAAAAGGGAGTCTGTTTTTCTATTTGTGTGTGTGTATGTTCTTTAATTATCATTCACCTGATTGTGTGAGTTTGAATGTTTTTAATATTTCATCAGCCACTTTGTAAATGAACAATTTTGCCTTTTGCCTTTTCATCCCTTAGACAATAATCTTTTAATTTTACTAGAACCTGTGTGTATCCCCTTATTAAAAATTCAAATATGGGCTATAAAACTCCCTCTCCCTTCCCAGGCAGGAAATTCTTGGGCACTGCCTTCCAGGCCTTTTTCTATTCATCTGTAGTCATAGGGTTTGGTTTGGTTGGCCATGTATATTGTATTCCACCCTCTTTTTCCTTCTTAACAGCAGTCTTGGAAATCTTTCTAAGGCACTACATCTGCTGGTCTATTGGAATCCCTCCTCATTTCTTTCCCACTGTGGGCACTAGGTTTTGTAAGGGCTGAATTATATTCCATAATGTGGATTGTTTACTACCTCCCACATGTTGAGTTGTTGCAATGCTGGGATGAATATTTCTTTTTGTACCAGCCTTTTGTCTAACTGGGGAGCAGTGTTTAAGGGTACTGCCAAATTGCCCACCAAAGAGGTAATTTCCTTTCTCACCAGTAGAAGGAAAAAGAACTTATTTCTCCATATATAAGTAGACATGGCATATTATCAATCTTTAAAATTTTCCCCAATCTAGTGGGTGAATAGTTGTTTTAATTTCCCTTTCCCTGATTGCTGGTGAAGTTAAGCTTCCTTATTCCTTGACTTGACAGATATTCCAGTGTCCAGTCTCTGCAAGGCACCAAATCAACCATGGTGATAAAACATGTTGTTCCTGTCCTCACGAATCAAGGTAATGAAACCTTTATTTGAAGCTACTTTTTCCAATATTTGGCCTTTTACTTGTGTTTATGACATGGTGTTTTTATAACCAAGTTTAATTTTTTTCTGTATCCAAATCTATTCATCATTTATTTTATGCTCTTGCCCTGCAAAATCTCCTATCCCAAAGTTATATACATAATCATGTGTATCTTTTAAACAGATTTCTTATTGTAGTTGGGAATGTAACAGAAAAGGTTGTTCTCGCTCGGGTCCGTCTGCTGGAAAGGGTGGACAGCTCAGCATTTCCCCTCATGAGAGGCTCTCTGCTTGGGCCCAAGACTAGAGAGGATTTCCCTCTTCCCTTGGGTATTGTGACTCAGGGAAATTAAAGCAAAAATGTCATCCAGAAAGGAGAAGTTGCTGCTCTGTATAATGAGGTAAAAGATTATCTGCAAGTTAGGGAAAGGGGATACAACTGGCAGATACAACTCTCCAGAAAGGAAAAGCTGGGCTATAGCTGCAGGAGGCCAATCCCAGGACTCCTGCCCCGTCTCTCCCATGGGACTCCATTCAGCAATGGCAGTGAGGAATTCAAGGTCCCTCAGCAAAAGGACAGGAGTGGAGTCTGCTGGGAACCCCTCAGTTCCATCCCGGGTAGATACTGCAGGCTCCGGTCTGAGAGGGGCCTTGTGCTGTTCTTATAAATTCTTTTCTATCACAAAAATAACTGTTGTTCGGGCCTCCCCGGTGGCGCAGCGGTTGAGCGCTGGGTTGCGAAGCTGCCCGCGGCCTCTGTGGCGCCGGTTCGATCCCCGGCTGCTCCCCGGCCACCGGAGGAGGATCCCACATGGTGCGCAGACCTCTCCTGCCACCCGCTGCTCCCCTCAGCAGTGTACTTCAGTCCTTCTGCCTGCTCTGCTCCCCGCTCTGGCTCTGGTGAATTCTCTCACCCTCCCGCGCTTCTGACTGTACCCAGTGCATGTATAAACAAAACAAACAAATATAATAAATAAATAAATAAAAACATGCCTCTATAAAAAAAAAAAAAAAAATAACTGTTGTTCGGTGCAGAAAATTTGGGAACCACAGAAGAGTATAAAGTGGGAGGGGAGGAAATAAACATGGAGACATAGTATCTCAGCAGTTGTCAACCTCACAACATCCACATTTTGGTTCTGCGCATAAATCATTTATTTGTGTTTATGAAAACTGGCTTAGCTTGAAAGGTTTCCTCTTAACAATGAATGGTGGTATTTTTGACTCTGGGACCAGAGGAGGAAGTGAGAGGAGGTGACAGCTGGTGGCTGGTCCTACTGTCATGGGCCCTCAGGGACCAGGAGAGTGGTCACCACTGTTTAAGGCCCTGTACATCACTGGGAAGGGTGGGAGACATGACATAAATGGGTCTCAGGCATCATGCATTTTTCCTTCCTCAACAACCGGTAGCTGAAATGCCTGTTCCAGGAACACAGTCCCATTTCAGCTTAGCTGAGGCAGACACAGGTTTTTAAGTGGTATCTATTTAAGAATTCTAACCTGGGGTGGTCAGAGGAAGGCTCTGCTGAGATAGTGCTTTGGGATAGCCTTAATGAGGGTGAAAATGTGGGAAGGGTAATCCAAACAGAGGGAACAGCATATGCGAATGTATGGAAGCAAAGAACTGGTCACATCAGCAACTGGTAACTAGTTTACTAAGGCCAGATTACAGGAGCCTCAGAAGGGAGAAAGGAGGTCAGGAGGACAGAGGGTTTGACTTAGACAGGGGCTAGAAGCTTTTTCTGCTTTGTTGAGTTTGGGTTTTAACCTGAAGGGAGAGAGGAGCCACAAAAGTGCATGGTCTGAGTTGTGATTCAAAGATTATTCCAGCATCCTTGCAGGCCATGGGTTTTAAGACCAGTCAGCGAGGTTCAAGCAACTAGACAAGTGGGGCAGAGGCAGTGCGACTAGATGCAGATTCTGTCACTGCTAGGAGACATGGATGGAAAGGGGGCCGATAAGGATCATCGTCTCCTGGCTTGGGGCCTGGGTGGGCACAGGAGGAGAAAGTGGGCAAAGGTTGAAACTGCGGTTCTCCCCACTGGAGAGAGGAGCTGAAGCTCAGGCTGGGGTGGAGGCTCAGCAGGTGGCTCAAGAAGTCAGCAAAGGGATGAGCTGGCTCACGAGGGCATGTAGGGTCTGGACAAGAAGGCCAGGGATGGGTCTTCTAGGAATGAGGGCAAGCCACAGATGGAAGGGTCAGGTCACATTGTGGGAGCAGCCTGATATGGGGCTTACTGGATGCGCCCCTCCACACGCAGCAGCAGGTAGTCCCTCACGAGTGGCGGCAATGGGAGACAGGCAGCGGCCTGTCGACAGCGGCAGCCCAGCTGAGCACGCACAGCCAGCCGGGCGAGGTGCTGCAGCCGCCTGGGCTGGTTGACCATGTTCTGGGCTGAGCTGTAGAAGGCCTCGTGCTCCTGGACCAGATGGGACAGTCAGATGGCTCAGCACTCTCACTCTGCCCTTCCATCTAGGAGCGACCTAACGCTGGGGACCCTGGGATTTGGCACCATGCACCCATCTGGGTGTCTCGTGCATCTCCAAGGACTTAGGTTCAGAGCCAGGGAGGTCCTGCAGGGGCCGTAGCCTCAAGGCCCACCGGGCAGAGCGGGGTCTCAGCCATGTCTATACCCACCCTCTATCCAAAGATGCTGGCACAGTACCTGCTGTGTCAGAGTTGCCTGATAAATGTCGACTGATGCACAGGAGAGTGCAGCTGGAGATGTGTGTGGAATTAAGAGGTTGTTCTGAGTTACCAGGACCCTGGGGGCCCTAGGATGTTGGGGTTTCATTCTGCCCATCCCCTTCCAGCTCAGGGGCCTTCCTATTTCTCCCTCCAGGAGGCCCACCCTGCAGGGATAGGCCTGGGGCTAACTCTTCCTCGACATCTCTAGATGGAGCCACGTCCCTGGGGTGGACATACCTGCCACAGCTCTGGGTGCACTGCCTCAACCCATGTGTCGCAGGACGGGACACAAGGGTAGGCATTAAGCAGGACTTCCAGGGCCCGAGGAAAGTTGGCACAGTGTTTCAGCATCTAGGAATAGAAAGAGCTGCCATGCCTCCTCCAACCAAGGGCAGACCCAGGTGCACCCTCAGCCAAACCAAGTGCCCCTCATACCCAAATTTGGGAAGCAGAGGTCTAAGTCTGTCTTCATACTTCTCCATGCCTCAGTTTACCCCACTGTCAAAGGGGCTCCAACTTTTGGCCCCAGACTGTTTTCCTGGAAGCTCTTTCCTCCCGTACACACCCTCCCCCATAACCCTCACCAGTCCTTCCCAAGAAGGGGACAGAGCTCGGGCTTTTCATCTCTTGGCCCCATGGCTTCCCCATGACAAGGTAATTCTTGCGGCAGGCTCCTCCCACCCAACTAGAACCTCCTTACACAGACTCAACACCCTTGACTCTTCTTTCGCACCTCAGGACACACAGGCTGGGCCCCGTAGTCCAGCAGTGCAGCGAAGAGGACCTCAGGCTCCCAGTTGGGGTTGTCCTGGACGGCCTGTAGCACACAGTCCATGGGGGTGTGGCCTGCCCCGTTGCGGACTCCAGCGCAGGCCCCATGGTGCAGCAGTAGCTCAGCCAGGCCCCCACAGCCGTTGGCACAGGCATTGTGCAGTGGTGTGTGGCGCTTCCGCCCAGCCGCCCTGGCATCAGCTCCAGCCTTCAGGAGTTGGCACACCACGGCCTGGTACTTCTGGCAACTGCCTGGACCCTCAGCCCCGGCACACGCAGCATTCAAGGCCGTCTCGCCCTGGATGGTGCGTAGGCCCACGTTGGCACCCTGCTCCAGGTAGAGAGCCACATGCTCCTCTAGCCCTCGCGATGCTGCCACATGCAGAGGTGTCACCTCGCTGTCCCCTGCCACCAGGTTTACCATCGCTCCAGCCTCCAGCAGCAGTTTGGCACACCTGCAAGCAGTTCCCAAGGCCAATCCTAAGGGACCAAGGCCTGGCCTGGGAACCCCCTCAGCCTCCTATCATTCCTTGTCCCCTTTCTTCCCACCGCCTCCCCTCAAGGCCAACCTGGTGTGCGCCATCAGACTCACAGACGCCTCTTGACAAACAGCCAATCTTAAGACCTGTCAAAGTCACCATCAACATCTACAGTTTTCAGATTAACAACTTCAGCCCAGAAAGATTGCAGTATAGCCAAGGACACACAGCAAGTTAGCGGCTGTGCAGAATTAGTAGTCATTGCTCATACAGACCCTCCCAGTCTAACCTGACCCCCCCAATCTGATTAGGATCCCCAGACCCTGTTCTGAATCATTTGTGGGTGGTCTTCTAACATTTTGGTAAGACACAAAAATTTTTGAAGACCCACTACGGTGAACCCTCTGAAGCATAGAAAGTTAAACAGTATGAGCCAAAAGAGAAAGAAATAGAAGTGCTAATGTTTTTCCCCTGCCTCTAAACTTGAAGAACACCCTTCCAGACTAGCCTCACCCCCTCCTCAGGGAAAGCACCGGGGACTGCTTACTGCACTTTTCCCCCAGGGAAAACAAACACAATCAAACAACAGAAATCAGATTTTAGGGAGCACAGTCTCACAGTCTTCTAATTCTGGGAAAATTATAAGCCAATCATTTGAGGCAAGTATGTATCATTAACTGTGGTGGGGTAAACCAAGCACACAACAAGCTAAAGGAATGATGAAATTAACAGTAACTTACAATGACACATCCAAATGGCAGTCCCTGGAAACTTAGGAGCAGATCCATCAACCCCAAGGAAAACGCTGATGACCCATGTTTTCCCCAGATGGCCCAAATTCCAGTTCTCTCCAGGGCACATGTCCACTAGGCTCAGTAGCCACGAGTTGAGGAGCAGTCAGTCATCCACAAACTACTGGATTTATTTCCTCAATAAATTCCAATCATGGGCTAGTTTTTATTGGCAAACACTAACATTGAACATTCAATGTTGAAAAATCACACTGAAAAGCTCAGTTAGCAGCGTTCCAGTTAGCAGAGCCCTTCTCACTGG